CTAATAGCATCTCATCAATGATTAACAGGTATGGTAAGTGTGCTGTGATTGGGTACTGCTTTCGTGAACGACATTATTTTTTCGAAGATAAATTCTCATTTTTGGTTACAGTTTCCCCAAATTTACGAATGCCGACAATTATATTATGTTTCAATAAAATAGTATTGACATTTTTGTGCGAATGCCAAGTAGCGCGGATCGGTGGGTCACAGAATTCGTAAACTAAGCCGATTTTGGAGCCTCAACCCACGGTCTAAAATGAGTTTTTCCGACTTCTGAGGTGTCTTAATTACTTTTAAGTTCTTTAAAATTAAAGGTTTTCCCCTCTTGAAAACGGTCAGGTAAATTTATCCTATTGTTATTACAGTACATAGGCCTTATGTGTGTATACATACAAAAAAAAAATTGAGTAGTTGCATACGATTTTTTTTCCATGAATCCATAAATCCCAAAAAGGGAAGGGGGTTCGGGGGTTCTCCACAGGGAAAATGTTGATTCCTAGAAGGCGGGAAATGAGCTTTCCCCCGACTCCTGTGGTGTCTTAATTACTTTTAAGTTCTTCAAAATTCAAGGTTTTTCCCTCTTGAAAACGGTCAGGTAATTTGTTCCCATTGTTATTACAGTAAAGGCCTTATGTGTCTGTACACACATAACATTTAAAAAAAATGAGTAGTTGCATACGAATTTTCCATGAATCGATGAATCACAAAAAGAAAGGGGGGTCGGGGGTCCTCCCCCGGGAAAATTTTGATTCCTAAAAGGCGGGAAATGAGCTTTCCTGACTTCTGGGGTGTCTTTTAATTACTTTTAAGTTCTTCAACATTCAAGGTTTTTCCCTCTTGAAAACGGTCAGGTAATTTTTTACCATTGTTATTCGGTAAATAGGCCTTAGCTGCATATATATACATAAAAAATGAGTTGTTGCATACGAATTTTCCATGAATCTATGAATCCCAAAAAGGAGGTGGGTCCGGGGGTCCTTCCCCAGGAAAATTTTGATTCCTAGAAGGCGGGAAATGAGCTTTCCCGACTTCTGGGGTGTCTTTTAATTACTTTTAAGTTTTAAGTTTAAGTCCGGGAAAATTTTGATTTCTAGATGGCGGGAAATGAGCTTTCCTGACTTCTGAAATGTATTTTAATGTATTTTAAGTTCAAGGTTTTCCCCTCTTGAAAACAATTAGGTAAATTTTTCTCATTTTTTATTTTATGTGTGTATTCATACATAAACAAATGAGTAGTTGCATGCGTATTCTTTTTGCAATGAATCGATAAATCCCAAAAAGAAAGGGTGGTCCAGGGGTTCTCCCCCTTGAAAATTTTGATTCCTAGATGGCGGGAAATGAGCTTTCCCGACATTATTGAAGTGTGTTTTAATGACTTTTATGTTGTTCAAAATTCAAATTTTCTTAATGGAATAAAAAAAAAAAAAACAAATTCAGCTCAACGGGTCCTGAAAAGGTAGGTCTAGAATTATTTTTCTTTTCCCCCTTTTTTTGTTGCCCAAGGGAGGGGTCAGGACCCATTACCCCCTCCCCCATATCCGCCAATGTGAATTGCGAGAAAATGTAACTCGGTCGGGTACTGGATAAACATTCTCTTTCGCATCCTTCTCCTCCTTCTTCCCTCCTTCTTTTCTTACATTTCCGATCATACAAAAATCTCCAGACATTATATATTTTTTGCCAAAAAGTGGGGGGGCCCGGGGCCCCCCGGTTCCGCTGGCCATGCTACACTACAACCGCATAACAAAGAAAGCGACCCACGTGGTGCATTCTTAAATATTACACACATTATTTAATTGTATTAGACGATAACACGATATCATTGATTAAATGATCTAACTAGGCCTACCCTTGCATCGCAGTAATACTGAACCTACTAGAAGAATATCAATATATAACACCTGTCTCTTATACACATCTAGATGTGTATAAGAGACAGATATTGTTTTCAGTTTGCATTCAAAGGGTACATTGCTGCACAGCCAACTGTCGGGGATATAGTACCTTCATATGACTCTCATACGTATACAACAGAAAAAAACGTCGCATGGACTAAGTGAAAAATGGAGATCTAAATGAAGAAACGATGTATTTCAGCAAGTATTGAAACATTTTAGTTATATTTTAGGCCTTCTTCAAAATACCTATGCCTACAACAGATGATTTTTTTGCCGTAAAACCAAAATAGTTTCATCCATGCCGACATTCCGGTCGGTTAGCGTGAGCCCTGACTGAACTCTGCAGAAACTTCACATCGATCTTCGCATCGCGAAAACTTTTCTTTGACGCATGCGCATTTCATAAATGTCTACACACACACATACACACTACACACAATAAAAAACATAGGAAATAGCAAGAGTGATTACAATAGTTCCTATTGCATTACATGCATAGGAACTAATAAAAATGCCAGGAGAAATTTAAGAAAAGTACATGTTAAAACAGACACTACATTAGTGTATTTTTATAAATCTTGTAAAGAAAAGTAATCTTAAACATGTAATAATACTTACTTATTACTGTTAGTGTTGCAGTCTCTCTGCTAAGTTTTCCATTAGTTCCAGTCAATAAATCATTTTCAGCTCTGCATGTATAATTTCCCTCATTACTTTTAGTCACATTGCTTAGCACCAATGATGTTTCAAATTGACCGTTCGAAAGAATTTCGTCATCTTTCAACAATGTGACTCTGGGTTCTGGTTTTCCTTCTCCTGATACACATGTAAATGTAGCAGTATCACCCTCATTCAATGTCATACTTTTAGTAACTAGTGTTGGATATGAAAGATCTAAACAAAATAAGAAAATATAGCAATATTCACATGTAAGCAAATTTACATTTTATGTACATAGCAAAGAGTATAAATAGAACAAGAGAGCAAAGTCCCGTTCGTAAAAACGTCACACTTGTGTAGGACGCCCACTAACGGTTGTATATTCTTTTTATTACCCAGTGCAGCTCTGCGCAGTGCGGTAGAAGTACGCCCGCTATAAACTCAGTAAGCAGAAAACAAAAGTACAGTATCTTGTGGAGAACAGATAAACAGACAAACCGACCGTGCGCGGTGGAGTACTGGGTAATAAAACACATACAAGCGTTAGTTGGCGACTTACACTAGCTGCGTATGGGCGTATCTTTTTTTACGCTCTCAATGAGCGTTGTTGGCTCTCTTGTTCTATTTATACTCTTTGACATTAGCTACTGTAAATATTTATTTCATTTTCTTTATACTGAAGGCACTTTCAGTACTATCTGATTTTCAATGTTATACAGTGACAAGAAACATACAGTAGAAATAAAACAAAGAATAAAATAAAATTTAAAAATAATATTTTAAATCATTTTGGAATGAAAATGTTGTCATCTCTTTAATATGAATTTTTAATTTGTGTTTTAGTTTGTTCCAGCTTTTGAATGATCGATATAAAAAAGTTCTTTTTCCCTGTCCAATATTATACTGTACATTGGAAGAACCAGGTTGTTTTGGGTTTGGCTCTTTGTGCCTTTAGAATGGGTAGTATTGTTAAAGGCAAATTTTGAAGACAAAAAATAATTAAAAGAATTAACTCTTTCAACTGTAGATCACCATTATAGAAAATAGAAATATTTTTTAATTCTTCTTCTCCATTAATTTTTTTTTTTGCATGAATCAAAATTATAAAGGAAGAAACAACACCCATTGCATTGCTATTTACTGCTTGTACGTTACCTCAGCAGTAAACCCCATTCTTTCTTTGCATTTTTAATCTCAATAGAATTCTGTACTTCAAGATCTGATTTTTTTTTTCTTTTTATTTTATATTTTTAAATATTCCACTATTTTGCATCTTTTACTAATTACTTGATGATTGTTCATTAACTGCAGCAGTGAATCCTATTTTTTCTTTGCATTGTCTAATTCAAGATTTTTTTAAACTTTTATATTCTTAATTATTCTATGATATTGTTTTTTACTGCTGTACTTTTACTGCTTGTTTATTAAGCTCGACAGTGAACCCTATTTTTTCTTTCCATTGCCTATACTGAATACTATAAAAAAAAAAAAATTCTTCTTCCTTCTTTATTTTAAAATTATTTTTATTATTCTTGATAGATACACTTTGTTTCTTAATATGATGTTTGATAATACAAATAAATCAAGCTTATAAATGGGAAGAACTACCATCATTTCATGTAATTTACTGCTTGGTCAACAATATATTATATTGTCTTCCTTGTAACTTGGTTAACTTTCCCAAAAGTTGTATTCAGATGAGTTGACCAGTTTTTGAAATACACCCCACTTTAGACTGACACTAAATATTAGTAGGCACGTCCTTGATATATGGTCTGTGCTTTGACAAATTTTGGAAAAGAGTGCCAGACAGATTAACCCAGTACTACTATCTTTACCCTGCATTTTATAAATTTGCACATTGTTACCAGTGGCGACTCAGATTAGGCTTGCAGACAGGTAGATAGAATACCTGATCGGCAGTAGAGGTCCCGATTTGTGAGAAGAGCATGCGCACATACTCTTCAGGGGCGTACCGTGGGGGGGTCGATGGGTGCGGTCGACCCCCCTTTTAAAGAAAGTGCCCTTTAAATATGATTTTTAAAGAAAATCTGGCATAATTAAACTGCGCCTAACATGAAGGTAGTTAATATCAAAATAAATTATCCTTCGCCTAAAAAATGTTTGGTGGCCCTTCCTTTTAATATTTTGATTTTTTGTCTTTTTTTTAAACAATCTATATAAAGTTATACATTTTTAATCAACTTGATATCTCGAAGCACGCGCGCCAGTAGAGTTGTGTTATGTGGTTACGCATCATTGCACTCTGCCATTATTGTTATCTGTAGCTGCGTGTTTTCCGTGCAGCAAAATAATCTATTCGCGCGCAACGCAAAACCGAAGGCAATGTAATTATTTGATGAGAGCAAATTTTTCTCGTGAGGTAGTTGAATACTGTAGATTATTTTTTTGGAATATAAAAATGCCAAATAAAGAGAGAAGAAGAAAAATAAAAGAAAAGGAACTCAGAGAAGACGCAAAACGATGCAGGACGCATCGGAAAATTAATGATAACAATTTGATCTTTAAAGCCCCATTCCCGGCAAAATTTCAGTTTTTAAGAAAAATCTAATTTTTGTATAATGTTATAAAGATTTATAAATATAATACGGAATTGCTAGTTTAACTGAATTTAGACATTCCTAAGAATGAAAAAAATGTAAAATAAGAATGAAATTTGATTTTTTTTGTGTTCCACACAAAAAATAAATGCGGATGAATTTTTCATTTTGATTTTGCGATAGGTCGTGAGAAGAAATATCGTAGGCGCCGAAAACATTAGCCTATCCAGCGCTGCTAGGCTAGGCCTAGCCTTACCTCGATTTAGGTTCTGTTATTACATATAAAAACGGCCGACATGATATTTTCCGTTGCTAGTATTGACACTTGTGAAATATAATATTTCATAGGAATTATTTCAAATTTGTTAAAAAACTGATTCTGACTGAGATTTTGACACTTAAACAAACATATCTCATCCTTATTCGAACGACCGCATTGTGCGAGATACGAAGTACAAAAACTAATCTCATTAGAGAGGGCACACTTTATTGACTGTATAAAAGTATACATAAAAGCGAGAGTATTCCAGTGGATGCGATCTACAACCTCTAAATTTGCCTAGTAACAATGAATTCGTCCAGAAAATGGTAATATTTTATGAGAAATAGTCTGTATTTCTCATTTTTTTTATTCTTTTGCGTAAAACTAAAATTCATGCCAATATTTTTCCATGATTTATAATAATTGGAGTAATGCAAATGAATATTTTCTAAAAAAAGTCAGTTTTTAGTGAAATTTTGCCGGGAATGGGGCTTTAAATAAAGAGCTATTTATTTTTTTATGTAAATATTAGGTAAATTAAATTCCCTTTAGTATTTAAAGGGTAGTTTAAGTATTAGTTATTGAGAAAAACGATGAAGAAAAACTAAGTTAAAGAAATATATTAAAATATAAAATTGAAAGGAAAACGATGAAGACATACTAAGTTAAAGAAATATATTAAAATATAAAATTGAAAGGAAAACGTTAAGAAATCAACGCATACAAAATGTTACTTTAAGTAATTATATGTTCCCTATATCATTGTTTATTTTTCAATACAGTACACGTATATACATTTATAACTTTATTTTTTTTAAAAGTAAAAGTGGGACGATCCCACAAAAAGAAAAAAAAACATTTTGTTTTTAATTCTTTAATCTGAAATGCTCACAGGCCCGTATTCCGCAATCCAATAGGCTGGTGGTATATTGAGTGAATATATTGTGGTGTTGCCCAAAAACTATGTTTACAATTAGGCCTATTTTGTCAGACTTGGTATTGAACTTAATGCACTAGAACGTAAAAACGTAAATTTTTCCCCTTTTGCGGCCCCTAGCCCCAGCCTAGTTGCTCGCTTCACTCACAAATAACGCACCCCGCGAATTCTGAAAGCTTCGCTAAATTGCTCCAAGTTCAGCTTGCCTCCTGCGCTTTCGTTTCGACCCCCCTTAGATTTTTCACCATACGCCTCTGCTCTTGAAAGCACTGTTTCCATTCCAGTGTTAAATTGGCTGTTCCGATGCCACCACACAGTTGTCACAATAGCAAATTTAAGTGTTGTAGGGTATGCTCTGACTTCCATTGACTCACTGAAAAAGTGATTGGCTGATATCGAAGACCAGCCACGCGGAAATTCTAAGTACGATGAGATAGGCACGACTGTGACTTATCCTAGGTACCAAAGTAGGCCAAACATTGAAAAACTTTGCTATCCCAATGAATAGCGTTCCACTCGAAAAATTACGGTGTATATAGAAGATCGTGACAAAGAAATGCTAAATAAAATAAAGAAACTGTACTACTATATTTTTTTTTTGTTTTAGCCAGGTTATGCACTGCATACCTTGCTTGCCTTGACGGTCCGCCACTGATTGTCACAGCTATTTTTGTAAGGTTTGGTTTTGTTCAGCTTCAGTACCACTTTTTGCTGCCTGTTTATTTAGAGCATCTTCCCCAGACAATATTGCAGTATTGAAAGTAAGGTGTGCATTTATTGTTTAATATAGTACACAAGAAAGTATAATACATACTCCAACTATTGAAATGCATACCATCATAGTATACAAAGTTGAAATTTTTTTGCAACAATTCCACTAGATTTTATCTCAAAAAATCTAGAAAACTTGTTCCAAAAAATATTCAATGTATACCGTTCTCGAACACAAATTTATATCGTTGCTATTCTTTCAAAAACCTCGTATCTCCACAGAACATAATTTTACAGGAGGAAGAAAACATTACTTAATTTTAATTTTATTGTACTTTTAGCAATTTTTATTGATCCAGCCACCAGTTGCGACGATTCCCCCTCCTCGCTCCACATACTGGGCCGTGGTGGAGGTTGGGGCGTAGAGTCCTGGATGGAATACCATTTTTAATAAACTAAATAATAACGAGATGCTTTTTTGGTAAATAAATACACAAAAATCCCTACAAGATTTATGCAATGCAATATTGAAAACAATGTCTGTTTATATACACAAGTTGCCTGATACAATACATGTAGTAAAAGATACGAAATAAAATATGTTCCAACTGCACACGGTACGGTATATTACATTTTCATTTAAAATCATAATAAATATGAATGTTTTTCATGCTCTGAATGAAAAGTATCATTAAGAATTCTATCAAGTTGCCTAAAAATATGCAGTTTGTGGTGGTCTTTACTGAATTATTTCTTGCAGTTT